ATTTTCTTCTGAAAATCCAAGTTTTTGCCCGTTTAAGAACTTGATTCTTTTGCCCTTCAAAAATCTTTGGACAAATATATATTCAAAGGTGTACTCGTCATTATTCTGGAATTTTAGAGTCCAGAAATTTTCCCAGAAAAAAAAAATCTAATAAGATATTTTAATCTTCAGGGCAGCCAAAGAAATTCCAGAAAGAAACATAAATTAAGCGGATCCATCTTTCTAATAAATATAAGATCGACTAGATGAATCTCTTTCGTCATCTTGTTCCTTTCATCCTACGTGATCTGGACTGAAAATCCAAGAAATCAGAGAGACAGAAACAAACAGAAAAAAATATATATGGGGCATGAAATATACCTAAAGATGAGTTCTTTCCAAGAGGAGTAGTGGATGCAGCAGAACAAAAAGAACAGATGAACAAGACCATGATCATCAGTTCTTTGATTCCCATTTTTCTTTCTATTCCTAATATTTCCATGCAAATTAACAAAGGATTCTAGTTTTCCTCCACTCCTATGAGTTATTATATGTGAACTTCTGCTTTCTCAATTCTTCGAAGTTATCTAATCAACTTTTTTAAAGTAATTCCAGATCATGTTATTTTTCTAAAAGCAACCTTATCCTTCACAAAAGATTGATACTTCATACTTGGCTTAAGTATTTTACTCCACTAGAATATTTAGCAGCGTTTTTCCTGTAACTTATTAGCTGTAAATGTTCTCCGATAAGGTTTGGATGCTATAACATTAATTCCTTACATATTTAGCTATATGTCTAATGTATCCATATTTAATTTAAATTTTGTTAATAATTAATTAATAATATTAATTCTATTTATTTGACATGAATTAAAAAAAATCATTTTCTTTTCCATTTGTCAATAATTCCCTAAATTAATTTTTTAATGTTATATTAATTTTTATTAACAACTTCTATTATAAAAATATAACTTAAATTTCTCACCTCGGTTGAATTAGTCAATTTAAAAAAGTAACATCCATATTCCCTTATTGAAATGGTTGTTTCACACATATTTTAACAACTAAATAATATATTTAATGTAATAAAATTAATATATACAGAATGTTATGATTTGATATAATTTTATTTTTTGTTATATTTA